CGTCTTTGGCTGTTTCTTCGTGAACTTTCTCGAAAATTTTTGAGAAATATTGTGAAATAAAATCGAGTGAATTTGCGCATTTAATTCATTTTCGTTGACTTAAAATTTTTTGTCATCATAACTGGCTCTTGATAGAGCATCCGTCATATATAATTGGGATCCGGGCTTGTATTTTACTGTTAATTTGTAGTCGCTTCGGCGTTTTGTTTAGATCCTTTTTGAAGATTGACTCTAATGGTCTGTGATCCGATTCTACTGTAAATTCTTTACCACAAAGATATTGGTGAAAACGTTGGCATCCGAATACTATGGCTAGCATTTCTTTTTCAATTTATGCATAGCGTTGCTTTGTATCAGTTAAAAATGATGCGTACGCAACTTGTTTTCTGTCCTGGAGAACAACTGATCCTATTCCGTCCTTTGAACTATCTACCGACAAAGTAATCGGTTTCTTTTCATCGTAGAATTGTAAAACGGGACTGGTTCAGAGAACTTCTTTTAACTGTGTGAATTATTTCTGGTGGGCGTCTGTCCACATTCAATGCACATATTTTTTTTAATTGTCTCAAATTACTACTGATATCAGACAGATTGGGTATATACTTTGATAAATATGTACTCATTCCCAAAATCTGCTGAATTACGCGACATTCTTTGGTGTTGGTATCTGTTTTATTGCTTCCACTTTGTCTGTGTAAGCTTTAATACCACCGACAGAAATAACATGTCCCATGTACTTGACCTGGTACTGTATCTTGTTTGGACTAAATCTACTCCTCTTTCTCTAGCTCTGTTGAGAACACGATATAAAGTTTCTTCGTGTTCTTTCTTTATCTTCGAATATATAAAACATCTTTAATGTACACTACGTTTGGAATATCTTCGAACATTTCAGTAAAAGTTGTACAGAAAATCTCTCGAGCTATAGATAATCCAAATGGAAGCCTAAGAAACAATACCTGTCAAAAGGTGTAGCAATTGTCGTAAGCTTCGATGCTGTATCTGACAACTCAATTTGCCAGAATCTTCTATGCGCCTCGAGAACTGTGAAACATTTTGGGCCAGCCATTTCTGCTGTAATTTCTTCAAAAGTTGGCATTTCATACCTTTTCTCTAACCAAAGTTTGATTTAAATGAAATTCTCAGGGATTTATTTGGTTTATGCACTAAAACCAATGGGTTAACAAATTCTGAGGGCTCGGTCATTTTAGTGATGATACTATCATCTCCCATTTTTTTGTAACTCAGTTTTTAAATCTTTCATTATTTGAAAAGGGACTCTACGACACGGATGTTCTTTTTTTGGATAATAAATGTACATGTGCTTTCAGGGGCATTTCCCCATTATTCCATATTTTAGGTGTGAGTGCACGTTTGCAAAATACATTGTTCGAAGTGTCTCAATGTTGGAGCTTGACCTGAGGGTGTATAGGGCATAGTAAGATTTGCCGAGCTTCTTGTTAAGATTTGAGATGTGAGCATTCCATTTTCGAGAACGCTTGAGAATTCGATTAATTGTCTACTTCTAAAGTATCCACAGTTTTTCTTACCAAATCTAATTCTTGTAGACCTCTCAGGCCTTATATAGGTGCTGATTTGTCGGTTGTGCGAACAATTACAATATCCATTTTGTACTTTCGGTCGTTAGTGCAAACATTCAGTTTACATGAACCTGTAACATAGAGCTTTTACCCCCCCCTAATTAGAAATATCAAAACTTACATTGATTGAGATTTTATGATATATCTAATTTTTGGAAAATATATTCTGGAATTACATTAACAAGTGCTCTCGTATCGAGTTTAAATTTAAATGTCTTATTACAATCAAGAATCTTTAACGTGATAAACCAATTGTTTTCTACTTTTATATCATTAATTGAATTCCGCCAAGAACATACATTCATTATCATTTCCATTTTCTATAGCATTTACAAATTTTGAACGACGCAGTTTTGCAAAATGATCTAATTGCATTTTTAGCATTTCTTACCGCCTGCCAAACAAAAGTTTTTTGTATGACCGCATCATTGACAACCTGATCTCGATGATGTAGGTTGTTGGCTTCTTTGTCCTGTTGACTGCACTGATTTCTTGAAGCATTTTGCGTACCTCCTGATCGTTGTTGTGAGTGTCCTTGTTGAATTATTTGAGCACCTGGTTTCTTCTTTGGTTGAAACTGCTTTCGAACTGCATTTACCGACAGCTTGTTGGCGTTGTCCGTCGCTGTCTTTATGTGTTACATACAAATCATGCCTTCTCCATTCATTTACATCTAGAATTTAATAATTTTCAACACTACAAATTTTAGTAGATTTTTTCCTTTTCTTTTGAGTAAAACCAAGTCTTCTCCAAAAACACAAATTCATAACCTTCACACTTCTGTTTCATATATTCCATCAAAAAATCAGATATTGCAAAAACCATATTTCTTTCCATTAGTGACCTGCGATTGTCTGTCTTTTTCCAATCAAACCCCACAGCACGAAGCAGATAAGACAAAGTAGTTCCCCCCTATAAACCCTATATCACTATCATGTGTAACTTCAGTTAAAATTGAATCTAGAGTAACACTTTGTCCTGCGAAAATTGTTGTAGGAATATCTTGTATATAATCATAGGAAATCGCTTAATGCAAATATACGAGAAATTACTTTCCATTCTCTAATACCGAATAAATAGTGCGCCTAATCAAATCTGTCCAAAATCATCCACTACAAACGATTTGTTCCCTTCTATTCCTGGACACTTTCTTTTTGGAGTCTGAGTAGTATTAGGGTCTCGCTTCCAAAATTTTTAAATTAAATTCAACATTATTCTAAACAATATTCTCTTAACACTTTTATTATAATTTTATATACTTTTGAACAATGTGAGTTTTCAGGCTCATTGCATAGTAAGTTTTGCCAATAACTGAAGAAGTTTCTATATTGCCTCGCATTATCAGCACTTCCACAAATCTTGCAATAAAAAACGTCTTCTTGGCGCTGATGCTGCGTAACTTCTTCCTTCTGCAGTGGACTAAACTTACTCAAAAAATATTAATATTTATCATAAACTACATTAAATATTATTCCAAAAATAAATATCTACTATAAGAAATAAAGTAATTAAATACAATTAATTACAAATAATGTTTTTTGTAAATTGCTATTATTAATGTTATTAAATTGTTAATTTTTCTTATTAGTGTATTAATAAGGTTCCATCTAATATTTCAATAAATTAAATACACTATAAAAATAATATAAATAGATAAAGGAAAATCTCCGAAATATGTGAAGTTAAATCGTTCCCGTCTACTCTCTGCTGTGTCGACGATCTCACAAAGGTTCAGCAAGTTGAGGTTGAGGAGGACTCAGCCAGCGCATCTCTAAGGGTAGCAGGCAAATAATAATCTTGATAGTTTCAGAATACTTCAACATTTGACCACTGTAATAAAATATTTTTCTGTAATAAAATATTTTTCATTGAATTTCTTTGAACTTTCTGGCGGTATGACATTAGTGGCTGTAAAAAAACGGTCACATGACTGAATGCTCTGTAACAATAGGTTTATGGTTGAGAGAGAGATAAGCATTTTTTTTATTTATGGTTGAGAGAGAGAGAGAGATGATCATTTTTTCAGTGTAATTTTGAAATTTTCGAAAAAGAGTTTGCTGGAAATGAGTCTATCACACCCTTTTCGACTATATTTTACGTGTAATTACGCGAAATCTACACATATTTTCGAAAAATTGTACACGACCTATTTGAAAAACTGCATTTGGAGAGATTTCATTCAGGGGAAAAAATTATCTTCAATAATGTAGTAGTAGGAAAATGAAAAAGAATTGATATTTTACAATTTTTATAAAAGCAGGGATTTCAATAAAAACGAGTCCTGAACCATTCACTCACGCGTCGTTTATGCTATCCGAGGACAAGTTAAATAAAAAAAATCGGAATCTTGAAATTAAAAACTCCGTTTCAAACTCGTAGGGCCTTGAGTACCTTCTTAATTGATCGAGGAACACAAATTTCGGAGAAAATCTGCTGAACAGTTTAGGCGCTAGCATTGACCACACACGGACAGTCAGATGTTTTGCCGTCCATGGATTTTTCGGTTTTAAGGACTCACAAGATATGAAGCCTGACTACACAGCGTGTTAGGGGAAGTAATTTAATATACAGAATAGGGCCGGTTTCATCAACCGGAATCAAGATGATGATCCCCAGTTGATCCGGATCAACTTCAGTTTGACCCCGTTGTACGTTTCTCCATGCACTTGACACGAATCAACGTGTCTGCCTCGGATCAAATTTATTATTATTATTATTATTATTATTATTATTATTATTATTATTATTATTAATAAATAATAATAATAATAATGAAGTCATTGAAGACTTTATTATGGGGAGAGACACCACGAGATTAATTCCCAAAAAGAGCGATTTATTTGAAATGTCAGAAAACAGAGCATTTTTAAAACTTTCTTTGTAGTTACCTCATTAAGCTTTCGATAATTTCTCTTTCAATGGAGAGAACATTGCGGCGTAGTCTATGCATTCTTCCAACTCAGTGCCGTGAACTCATCACCGAAACAAGAACACTACCACCTCAGCAACAGCAACACACACACAGAACGGAAACGAAATGAAATCAAACAACTCAGTTTCCTACAGATGCACTGTGAGCAATACCCACAATTGCATGTTGCAAAATTGTTGCCAACCGCGCATTTTCACGACTGCTCACGAATCATGGGATCCGGATTAACTTTGAAGTCTCAAAACGTTGATGAAACGCACAGGGATCAAGTCGGCCTTGACTCCGCGGATCAGAATCACAAAACTCGGATCAACTACGAATTTGATCCCGGTTGGTGAAACCGGCCCATAGGGCCGAGGATCAGGATCCGAGTTTCCGAACGCTTTCCCTTTCCACACTCAAACGGATTCACATTCACGTTTCATTTTCTTTCATTCGATATCTCCTGAAATAGAATTTCCGAAATGTATTTTTCCTTTATGTGCTTTATTAGAGTTCTCTTCAGGAGTTGTGCAATACACACAATTGATTAATTACATCTCTGAAGGAACATCTCTGATAAAAAAACACAATCTCAGGTAAAATCTTAGTAATTAATGCTTCATTCACACTTGACACAATCGGCAGATACGAAGGAAGAAGGTTGATTCATTCAACCAACTCGGGGTGAGAGGGGGCATCATGTAAATCAAAGCCAGTCCACTTGGCACGGGCAGAGCATACAGTTGTGGATTTCTGTAACAATTCAAATAAAAAGAAATTACATTTGGATATACAATTATAATTAATATAATTACAAAATATTACAAAAAGTTCGAGCCAAGGAATATAATTATCAGGTGGTTGGGAATAAATGTTACTAGTTTCGTAAATCGAAGTTACACAAAGTTGACATCTGGCAGTGTGCCCCGATTCGAAGGCAACTCATCCAGCACTAGTGACCAGCGACTACAGGAACTCTCAACGATCGACCTCCTTAACAACCACGTTCATGTGCATGCCAACAGCTCGCTAGAATGCATACTAGCGGGCTATGACATGCGAAACACCAGTGCCGAGTGATTTGCCTACCAATCAGGGTAGCGATGCCAATTAGGGCAGTTGTATTTACGTTATATAATTATATATATATATATATATATATATATGGAATTTCTTACATGTTTGTTGGCAAATGTGGTAATCTTTCACCTCCTTACATAAGTAAGTGGATAGCATTTTTTTCAAAAATCTAAATCAACCTATACGAGTCTCTCTAAATGCAATGCACAGTTCCACTTTGTCAATTTTTTATCTTTGGCAAAAAATTGGATGTGTTTAATCCGATCTCTAAATGGAGATCGTTAGTCTCCGTCAATATCGTAACGAATATTGCATCATCTGCCCGGATTCGCTGCGGGGAGTTCGTCATCTGCGGGCGCCTCCCCTTCCCCCCGAATTGGACAGTTCCAGGCTATTCGCGGGTCGCGTGGAAAGGTGGAGCAAGTGCCGGGTGTGTCGACACGAGCGCCGGCCAGGTATAAATGCGCCGCTGCCGGCGGCCGCGAGTCAGTCAGTGTAAGTATGTCGGTGTAAGTCAGTATAAGTAGTAGTCGGAAGTAAGCAGCTGCGAATCAGTTAGTGTGTGTAATCAGTGAATAAGCAGTCTGTCCGTCAGAGCGTTTGAAGTAGAAGCTGTGCTGTAAAGTGTGCATTGCGGTGAACAGTGGTGAAGTAGGGGAACAGCAGTCAGCAGTTTGAAGTCTGCAGTGGAAGCTGAGCTGTTAAGTGTGCATCACGGTAAAAGGCAGTGCAGTGGACCCTGGTCTGCGCCGTGAACTGTGGTCTGCGCAGTGGACCGTGGACAGTGCTTCGGACTGAGATAGTGTAGAAGAAGTAAACAGTGTAAATAAATAATTAGAAGTGAACTGTGTAAATAAATAATCAAGAGAACGGAGTCGTGTGTAAGAAAAATAATCAAGAGGAGAAAACAAAGGATGTGTAATATATTTGTAAACAGATCAAGTATTTTCAGTGTATAATTGTTTACGAATAAACGTTTTTGTTTAAAAACCTGTGTGTGGGGGTTTTAATTCACAACCGAGAAACGTTACAATATTACTCTAACGTTTACTCCCATTTGGCTTTCTTTTATAAGTGCGTTTCTATGTTCAACAGTGATAAGCAGACTAACTAATAACTTTGCTTTTAAAAAGTTTACTTCTTCTGAGTTTGCATAAAACTGAGAAATCAGCAAAATTAAAAATAACTATTAATATTAAATAACTTTAATTTGATTGGGTTATTTGTATTTCTTAGATTTTCACGATTCTAACTCTTGCAGTGTAGACAGTGCCCGACAGGCAGTGCCACTTTTACTTTTTAGCACTTACTAACCTAAGAGAAAATTGTAATCGTGTGCCGGAAAATGGCGAATTAGCGACACGAAAACTGTTATTGCCGGACTCTGGTAAAGAGAAAGTGACAAAATCCTATTGATAAACCTAGAAAAAAATTCCTCTAACACCTGGTGTACCCAGAATCCATTTTCTGTCGACCGACGATGGACAGAAAAACGTCTGTCCGTTCGTCTGTGCACAACGCTAGCGCATAAACCGTTCAGACGATTTTCTTCAAAATAGATACTCCATTCTGATTAGTGTCGCGGCCCCTGGAAATTGAAATTTATTTTTTTGGAGGGGGGTACTTTACATGAACACCCTACGACATTTTCAAAAATAAAATGGCGCTATAGATTTTGATTACATTTTGTTGGCGGATAGCCTAAAGGACGTTTAAGAGAATGGTGTAGGTCTCATAGTCGTTAAAAACTCTGGTTTGTAAAAAATTGAAATGATTCAAATTTTTCGCCGTCTTCTTACAGCTATATTATTAAAGATAGTTTTTTCCTAAAGGAAATCGGTTCTTATGACAAATCTTAAAATAAGGTCATGTTCAACTTTTGGAAAATTTGAGTAGTTTTCGTGTAATTTTGTGCGAATTAGAGTCATTTAATAACATTTTTCTCAAATCCATTCCAAATTTGTACTTTAATTGTATCCTCATATGAAATATGGGACGGTAAAAAATGGTGCTTATCCCATTTTCTGGTATTCCCTTTTTTTGAAAATTGCAAACAATTATTTAAAACTACAAAATTCAAGATAAGAGATTTTTGCCTGAGACAAAGACGGAAATCAGCTCATTAGAAAAGTCATATACATTTCTTTGACAAAATCAGTAGTTTCGCGAAAATTTTATTTGAAATTAATGAAATATTTAAAAATGTCCCACCAGCTACGGGATACGAGAAAAATACTCGGAAAACATAAATGGATCGAAGGGATATGAAAAATAATTAATTTAATTATCAATTACTTTTGAAAGTGCTAATATTAATTCTAGATATTTTTACTCTACAATTTGTATTATCAATGTATTGATGTATTTCTTTCAAATAATTCGCAAACCTTAATTGAAATTTGCCCAACAATGTCCCAATGGATATTTCAGAAGCTTTTTCTTAAACGTGGAGATGGTGACGGTGATAAGATAAAGCTGTTTAATTTAGTCGAGCTTGTGTTTACAAATTAGCCTTTTAGAAATGATTCGAAACCTATTTGATAATCCATAGTTTGTCCGTGTTGCGAGGTATAGAAATAAACATATTTTCACTTTACAAATGTAACTTATCTATGCATATTACACCACGTCACCAGCAATACATTCCATATTATAGACTTTCACAGTTTCAATGAGTATTATGCAATATATGATTGAATATATGATTATGCGTTTTTTATAAAAAAATAGGTTCGCTTTTTGGGTAAACAATTTGTGAGTTGAATATTAAAAAAGGGTTTCCAAACGTTAAGGATAAATTTTATATTTTTACATAACCATAACAACACCATTCACATTCTTTGATACTCAAATTCTGTTGGCTGCGTTTACATAATAAAACGCTCATTCCAAGTTTATCATATAATACAAACTTATTACTGTCAAAGGGTCAAGACGATAAAATCTACATTTACTGTAATGAAGCAAAACACGGGTTCATCTCAGAATTACATGAGTCATTAAATTATTTGTATACCTAAATTTAAAAAAAAAAAAACGTCAGGGTTGTATAAACAATAGTGTATGACGCACGTGGTGAAAGTGTAGTAGAACTACGTCACTCCTATCGGCCTCGTGTTGCAATGTTTCCTACTCGCAAAATAAAATATCACTTTTACCACTCATTTCATTTATAACTATTATATCGAAATCTCACCTTGCCAATAATCCTGGCCTGATCGCTGAGTCGATATTTTTGATATCCAAACACAAGTGGATGTGGGTCACCATAATGGAATACTCGGGAGTAGTCACCCACATCTATATACAGGTCAACAGTTCCTGCTTTAATAACATTGTTAACTAAGTACACTGTTGTCGCAGCAGCAATATCTGTGTTAAAATAAAGGCTTTTTTATTAAGTTTGCTTAATATAATACAACATTTAATACTTTTTCAAAAAAACAGTGGAAGAATTCTTACCCTCGCTGCTGCCTTTGCTAAACGTTATCTTTCCTATGGGAGAATATTGAGGAGGTACGTATGATCTCGTAAAGTTCGTAGTGGCTACACAAATTTTTCTTTGATGTGGTTCGTCCATTAACGTTAACTGGAATTAGAAATACATAATTATTCCTCTGTTCAAAAGAAAATAATACATTGACTATGTAGTGATTTTTACCTTGTAAGACTGAAAATCTTTCACTGGCTCCGATCGAATAACCTTGCTGGAAACATCATGCCATGAAGTGTGGGACTTGTCCTTATCTATTAAATCTTTCACGAGACCGAGAGGTTTGTAAGTTCGGAATCTCTTCCCTCTGGCCCCAGACTGAAAAGTAAACACTAATTTCAATGTTTGGTAGTTTAATCCTTAAATTAAATTTCAATATATAATTTTTTTGTAGAGAGGGAATCTAAACTTCATTTTAATGTTTACATTTTATATAAAAATATAATATCCTGTATAATCCATAATAAAATACCCTAAAGTAGATTACGGTTTTTAACAATTTAAAAAAAAAACTATCAATAGAAAACTTTGTATGTGTGCTACTAGTGGGTACTAATACTCCACCGACCTAAATTGAACGTATTGAAGACGAAAAAATAAAAGTTTGAAAAACTGACAGATTACTGCAAAACCCATTACAATGGCGAATAACACGGAAACGATGCATCCTATCGAAAATTAAAATACGATTTTCGTGACTTCCACAAGTTATGAGTCGTGACTGTCACGAGCGGGAAAAAGCGAGTGTCGTAGGGACCTAAGTTTTGTACGAGGGTCCGGTGGGGGAGGGGGCATTTAGGGGGGGATAGGTGTAGCACGAAGTATGTTTCTTAAGCAGTAAATAAAAAATAAACCAATGATCTTTTTGAATTTGCTGTAAAATGTTCGGAGATATAGTTCATTGACGTACCTCCACTCCTTATGAGCGGTCAGAAAAGTTCAGTAGCAATATGTAAGTAAGATTAAATTGAAGGGAAAATAAATAATTTTCGCGATACAATTAAAGGGAGAATTTTATTTTCTGTGTTTAGCAATATTAGAATGATTGCAACACTCGCACAGTCCCCGGATGCGTTAGCTGTTAAGCTGCTTACTCGCGTCCAGGATCTATAATACTGTAAATCAACATTTCAGAGACTGGTCTTTCGAAGTTGATTTCCACTATGCAACAGTTCTCAATTTTAAAATAACTGTTCACAATATGCGGAGTTTTCACACGGGTCTAGTTAGTATTTTTTAATATCTTCTAGAAGAATTTGCATGCTTAGATGTTGAGAAGGATGCTGCTGGTAAGAAAAAAGTAAAGAAGATAGAGTAGCTGAGCTAGTATCCACTACTGAAAGATCGATGCATTAAAAAACTATTATGTAGCAATTTATAATTTGATTCATCTCCTAATTTATTTGATAGAAAATAATAATAATTGCACGCAAACAAGGTAGAATTGACATGGGAAACGAGTTATATTTTTCAAAAGTTACTTGAAACAGCGACGATAGCGTCATGAAGAGTGAGAGGGGGGGGGGGCGTCCAATGAGGCAAAACAGGAGTCAACAAACGAAGCAACTTTACATTCCGTCACTCGCGCGGCCATTTGTAACACGAATATTCGCGCGATGGACTCGTTACAACGAAGAGGAAGCCGAAGAGGAAGAGGAAGGTACTGAGTTTTGAAGTTCCTATGGTGTGGCGCGAGCCAAATTTGCAAAGTAATAGGATTCAATACAAAGAATAGACACTGAATGCCCGTCTGCTGTCAACGCTACCGTTTTAATCGTTCAGACAGTTTTCTCCAAAAATGATATTCCACGGTGGATCTCAATGAAATCGATCAGTCCTAACTCGAAGTACGGGAAATTTGAAACATAATTTTATGTTTGGGGGTTGTACTCGTATATATGAATCCTTCACATTTTCATTTTTTTTAAAAATGGAGCTACAAATTTTTGAATCAATTTTTTTCTCAGGAGAGCAAACAATCGCGGTGCTCGTAATATCGTTATTGGATATTTAATAATATAATACGACTACGGTAGTGGAGGTCTTTTTATTTTTCTCCAAGGTGTAGAGCTTTTTCTTTATTTTTTTCTAAATAAAGAGATTTAAGGAGAAACTATTTAATCATTTAAAAATTTATCCATTCCTTCTACGAACTAATCAGTTTATAACAATATCGATACATTTTATGTGAACATAAATAGAATGCTCATCTACATACTGTGTACAACTACAGAACTTCAGAACGGCACAGTTCTTCTCGTACTAAGTTTGCTACTTTCTTTGGTCGGGGCAACCTTTACGGCTGTCTTCTCTTGCCAGCTATCATCTATCGCCGCTGAAAGTACATTTTTTTACATTTTCTTTTACCCCTCCCCCAAAAAGTAGAACCGACGTATTACATTAGGAATATTAAAAAAGAGTAAAAATTTGCCCTATGTGGACATTTTCGTTGAAAAATTTGGAGCCGTTTTTAAGAAAATGGTGTTTAAGCGTTACTGCAAATTCGAAATTTGAAGCTCTTTTCCACAGACATTTTCTGCGTTTTCGAAGGAATTTGTTGGAGGTCATTGGAAATTCATTGGAAGCCATTTGAAGCATTTCCACTCACAAATACAGTAGTGTATACAAATGGATGGAAATGTGAAAATTAAAGGAGTGATAATGATTAAAAATACTGTTGCGCCTAAATGGATATTCTCTGGTCGGTATTACCCTCCTCTGTAGCTGCAAAGATATAAATTTACAACAACCATTAGGCAAGAATCCCACAATACAATTAATACATTGTACAAGTCGTCATAATTCATCTTATCAAAAATGAAATCAGAATCTCGAGAGCTCGCAAAGTTTTGAATTCCTCTCCAGTAGTCCTGAAAATGGGTGACCATAATCTAAGAAGAACGAATACCAGCAAAAGTTTTGGTTTAACATCTGATCATAATCATTCGTGGAAATTCCATATTTCTTTTCCAAAGCTGATTCCTCTGTTAGACTTAACATAATCAAAATGTTGTCTTCACATAAACGGGGAGCTAAAGGAGTCACTACAACTAGGGAGTCATTTCCCTAATCAATTGTTATAAATCCGTGATACAAACAAAACTTGTTTATGTCGTCGTAGCTTATAATGCAGCCAGTAGTTCTGTTCTTGCAGTAGGAGTTCTGTAAATTAGACCATCATAAAAAGCATATTTATCGCATTAAAAGATAGGCCTACTACGTACATTATTTCGTTGAATTACACTTCTTCAGCAACCTCTACCAGAAACGAATAAGATAAGTAGGCAAATATCTTACTTTTCCTTATTGAGTGGCTTACCATTGTCTAATATGAAGTGCTTCATCTATTTGTACAGTTTTTGCAATTTATGAACTTTTTTCGTTTTTATCGACACGCTTCTCTGAACTCGTTGAGCTCCTGGCGTAGAGTAATCCTCCGTTATGGTTTTTGACAAGGCTCGTCACGACGCAGTCAGTCAATGCGTTTTATCTATTTGGCTAGGGGCTCGGAGTCGTTCGATCCAGGGGTTTCTAAACGTCACTCACCCAGAAACTCGGGAAGTCTTGAATTCGCTTAACCTCTGTGACGCCACAGAGCCTGGTTAAGGAATTCGGCTAGCGGCACCGGCAATTGCTAACGTTTCAAAATTGTGAGAAAATATGTTTTAGCACTACTAGTTTTACCATTTCACTGCTTAGAACAGTAGCAGTCGTAGCGGCGCATGTGTACCCTGAAACTTTCGGACGCGTTTTCACTTCTGAGTCATAATTATGACAGTACTGGTATATGTAAAAATGCAGGATGACACAAAACCTGGTCGGGCTTAGCCTGAGACGTCACTAAAGATGGCGGAAAATATAATTTTGACCCAGACACGTCCTTACACACTTTTTGATAACTCGTGCCGTTTCTGAGTTAGGGTGCACTGTTTGAATACGCAAAGTAAAACGTTGCTCTGGATGTATAAAAATTGTGATTTAAAGCGAATTTTAGAAAAGTGCCCAGCGATTCCATCTCAGATTTTTATGCAATTATGTACACCGAGTTCCACATATTTCAAAGGAACTTCTTTGAAGTTGTGGTTTTATAGGTAAAATGGTTTTGAGATATAGCGGTTTGTTTGACGATCATTCGATTTTCGCAACTTCATTCTCCGTTATCACTAAACAAATGAAACTAATCTCACTTATATTGCTGATATAATTTGAATCAATATTAATTTTCCATTTATTAATACACAAAGGGGAAATTTCAGCAAAATACAATCTCTATCTTTCTTGGTTCAGCACTGATGTCCCTTATTTATTGGTAGTAATGCAGATACAATTTATATACCTTTATTTATCACTTAATGTAATACTAATTTACTGATTAAATAATTTTTGAATTCATATACAAATATATACTGATATAGTATATGAAGTCATACACAAAACGCAACATCCTTGCGTTACGCAGAAGGCCCTTACCCTAATTGGGATGATTACAGGTTTGCCAGGTGTGGTGCGAGTTCTTTCCCCACCACCACTATGGAATTTCCGCAAATAACCTCTCCAATGAAACCAAATTCCCAAACATTGAAAGGAAAAATATTCAAATTATGGACCAACGACACGAGGTACCCTTACAATTCCATTGACTATCACCTTAAATTCAAAGTATTAAAATCGATCAATCATCGTCCTTTGAGTTGTTCGAAGCTCCTATTATCTTAATTTTTCTCATGTTCTTCGTTCTCTATGGCTGTTGTATATTTTCCTCCCTTTGATACATACAAATGAGATACAATAAAGTCTATAGTATGTTTTTTTACTCATAATCATTGAGAGAATAATATTTCTATCTCAACTCCGGATGAAAATAATTTCCCCAAAAATACTCAAACATTTCCCTGTCCATTTATGTTCCCCATTATTTCTACACAACGAAAAAAAAAATCATTTTTGGGACAAATTCCCCAATCTGGCAACCCTGGATGATTAGGCTTTAATAATAATAATAATAATAATAATAATAATAATAATAATAATAATAATAATAATAATAATACAAACTCATCACGTTAGTCGTTAAGCAATTGAAACCTTACTTCTGTAGATAAAACTGCAGGGTCAATAATCGTCGATAATCATCGTCAATAGTCGTCTACACTGAAATGCGGTTCATACGGTATGTGGAAATTGTCATCTGGATCATTTGTACTGTCATCGTCATGTTAATAACCGAACATAAGTTTTCTTTCTCCTTTTGCGTGTAGGTGCGGGGAAATCTGCATCTACATCGCACAAATTAGCAAGCGCAATTGCAGTGCTTAGCATTTCATCAACATTATTGCAATGTCTGAATGTTCGTTTTAAGAAGAGAGGACCGTTCTCTGAGGCTCCTGTCGGATTCGAAAAACGAGCTCCCCTCCTTCCCCATGCACTGACAGATATATTTCATACTACAAAATGATATGGATATATAACTTAAAATGACTGACGAAACTGGTACAGAGAGTCCACAAGATATGAAAGCAAAATAACTTGCATATGAACTAAATATAATCTCGAAATTCCTCTAATCAAAATCATTACGAATTGAAGTATCAGAATTCAAAAATCAAAATAAACTAATCGAACCATTCCCTAATATCATCGTGATATTACAAAGTTTATTAACTTTGACTGTTACATCCGGAGAAAGATCATTTTCAATATATATATAATAATAATATATATATATATA